GCAACGTCGCATGTCAACGGAAGAAGCTAAACTAGTCTTTCAGTCTAATGATTTTTTGTTTATTTTTGTAGTTTTTTATCTTTTTTGTATTTTGCTAAAAAATATTTGTTCTAAAACACAGTGTTTTTTTATGAAATTGATGATTTCTATATATTTTTTATTTAATTTTCATTTCATGTCACCACCTAGACCATCCTACTTGAAATAATCGTTGATAAGAAGTCATATTTCAAGTCACCCCATATTGGGGTGACTTGAAATATGACGTTTGACATTTTTTTTTTTCGAAAACTACACTATATAGAAACGGTTTTAATGTATCGTTCTGTTCTTTAGGGTCGAAAGAGTTGGTGACTATTTTTAGTTTGGTTGAAAGTTGCATGGTAAGGTCGCAATCTATGGAAGTGTGTCAAAAATCTTATCAAGTCACCCCATTCTACGGTACCAATATTTTTCATCCTCCACCAAATGAAAAAACTTTAAATTTTCATTTCATAGAGCACCATAGAACTTCAAAACCATAACACCATGGAAATCTTCCAAGAGATTTATAATATGTGAGTCTCCAAGAAATGAAGGTACAATAGTATATGTATTCTTAGCAGATGAGAATATACTATTTTTTTGAATTTTTGTAGCACACAATATAACATCAGAACTATATACCCGTGAGAAACTTCCTACAGCTACAACAATATGACAAAACCTTAGAGAAATGATGGTACCAATATTTTTTATCCTTCACCAAGTAAAAAAACTTTCAATTTTCATTTTATAGAGCACCATATAACTCCAAAACCATATCACCATGAAAATCTTCCGAGAGATTTATAATATGTTAATCTTCAAGAAATGAAGGTACAATAATATATGTATTCTTAGCAAATGAGAAAATACTATTTTTTTTTTAATTTTGTAGCACACAATATCAGAACTATATACCCGTGAAAAACTTCCTAGAGAGCTACATTATGGCAGAAGCAACTGAAGATTCATATTGTAAGTGGGACAATAGGGCTGATGTACCCTCAATTTGAGAACATTGGCGAACACCCACCAAAAAAAAGTAGCGGACCACGGTAATACCTCATGGGTGGTCTGGAAACTTACCGATATTCCTGTTGTTGACTTGTCTAGAATAATGTGTGTTTTTTTGTGTACGTAATATATTGTAACAAAGACTAATAAATTCTTATCTTATTCCTTATACTTAAGATATTTTCAAATCACACCGTTCAACATTTCATTTCTCTCACCCCTCATCTTCTAAAATCGAGAAATAAGTATTTTCAACCGTTTCCATATGAACAATCGAAAGTCTTCTGAACACAGCTTTTATTTTCAACTAACTTTGCATAGACTAATATCAATTATCTATATGAATAAAGATATACAGTGCTAGTCAAAAGTCCCCTCCCCCCTCGTATCTTTTGAACGGGTATACTTATAATAATGAAATTTGGAGGGTGGAAATAAACCGATGTAGGCTTCTTAACTGGTCATAACAGGCCATTATTATAAGTATACCCGTTCAAAAGATACGAGGGGGGGAGGGGACTTTTGACTAGCACTGTATATTTACTCTGTAGTAGAAGTCCATGTCATCTCAAATTGAGGTAAATGGGTGAAGTAGTAAAAAAAAATTAGCTCTTTATGTACTTTATTTCTTGTAATAATCAAATATGTTGTGTGTAATGTGCTTCACTACTCACAGCATATTATGGTTGTGTGTGTGTGCTTTCATATTTTTATGCACTTCAGGGATTTGAAGGGTACCTTTATTCCCTATTTTCGGGAAAAAAAGTGGTACTTTGAATCCCCGAAATCTGGATCACCATAGTTACTGTGTAATGAAGTGTTTTTGACCAGCTTCATTACTAGACTGGTTTTGATTAATATCTAAGTAACCTGAGACTGATTCTACTTGAATTTCACCTGTTCGAAAGCTCGAAACCTGAAAACTTGAGAGAGCTGAGTAATGCATTGATTCCTGACTTCACAAAGCTTTTCCTGATAGTAAAATCTCATGAACATCATTACAACCCAAAAGACTTCCATATTTTTCAATCCTTTGCTTATGATATGAAATTTGATTGAATTATCTTTCTGTTGAAATGCTTGATGTTTGACTGCTCATAACTTTGTTGTTATTGAATATTTTCCAGCCAAATTCATTCAGTAGCATAAGCAAAGGTAGTAGATCCTGTTCCTGTGCCCATTTAGGGTGTTATATTATTTTTTCCGCGTTTTGTGTTGGAGGTGCACATGTGCTTTTCAAGGACAGATTTAGTGGCCATGGCCATGAGCCATGAGGAGGTGGGAGTTTTGACCAATGAGATTCCAGATTTACTTGTCCTTGTGCCAAAGCCAAAGCAGTGCATAAATACTGAAGACAGCCAAGGATTCGTCACTCTGACTCTCTAAGCTCTTCTTGACAAGTCTACACCACCTGATCTCCGTTGCTCTTCAAGCTCCTGATTCTCTAGCTGATCTTTTGGTGCTCTCATAGTTCATTCAAAACCAGTGTAAAATAGTATTGTATAGTGATTTCCTGTTACACATGTAAGTTTGTATATTTTTCACCAGTGTTATTCCTCCTGTTCATAGATTCTTTTCATTCCTGTTGTTTTCCATACCGATACTCACCCGACCTGTTAACGAATCCAGAAGGTTGTATTTACGAATAAACGGTTTTTTGTGATTGCATATTCCATATTTCTTTCTTTGTCGTCATTGTTTTCAGTTCCAAGTAGTTCAATAATTCATTTAGTGATTTTCAATATTTTCATTTGTCAAATTTCTGATTATTATTATTGACTGACGGCTGACGGTGACGGCTGACACTGACAAGCCAGTGGTCAACTCTTCTCCTTCTTTTCCTTGAGAAATCCAGTCCTGTGCACCGGTGTCTCTGTGCTTTGTGTCCCGTCAGGCCGTGTTCTATGTTTCATGAACTACTGACATTAATGGAAAAATATAATTAATTAATCTCACTAAAAATCCGATATTGGAAAATTAGAAAACCGAAGGGAAAAGAAAGACAAATAGGAATTGAATCTGTTTGAGTCGTTTGGAACTGTGTTTCCGATTCTCCAGGTAGAAATAATGAAATAGTTGAAAACATAATTTTCCAGACCTAACCCATAAATATCAAAGACCTGAGAGATATTTTGCTTTGATTCCTATAATTATCCAGACCAGAAATAGCAACCAGTATTCCAGGCTAGACCCAGGGTTTGTAATTAAAGCCTACACTGCCTTGGCTACTTATTGATTCCAGGTCGATTCAATACCATTGACCCCTGGTTTATACTGTGGGTACCGAGGTAGGTATACCTCCTGTACCTTTCTCCACTGTTGCTACTTTGAGCCTCCTTCCCGACTAAGTTGGGAGGAGCAGGTGAAGTAAATCACCTTTATCAAAAATCTGGCGCTCGAGAATCTCCCCCCGTCAAATACCAGAGTAGTCTCCTGTCCTGAACAGAGCGTCAAAGTAAGGGCCCCAGAATAAAGACCCCTTACAACTGAGGTATAGTTACTATGGTAACAATCAGCCCCTTCAATGACGTTTCAGAAATAGTAGAGTACCTACCTTCCGTTTAGTGTCATTTTCGTTATTTTCAACGTTTTACCTATCCTAAAGTGCATGAAATAGTATATACACCTCAGGATTGAAGTGTTTTTGAAACCATAAAATACCACTTTGATCCCAAGATGTATGATGTACTATTATGCACATCAGGCATTCAAAGGGTACCTTAATTTCCTATTTTCGGGAAAAAAGCACTGTTTTCCCCGAATTCTGGATCACCATAGTTACTGAGATCGTTGATATGGTAAGAATCAGCCTCTTCGATGACGTTTTAGCAATAGAGTACTGTTTAGTATCATCTAATTTTTTTTCTTTATTTTAAACTTTTTACCTATCCTAAAGTGCATAAAATTGTATATACACGTCAGAACTTAAGTGTTCTTGAATCCCTCGACAAATTATAGAACTCCCGTTGGTCGGACTATAAACTTTTTGTCTCGGGATTTAAAATACCACTTCAGTCCCAGGTGTATAATGTACTATTATTTCAAACTAGTGAATGTAGGAATTGATGATAGCTGAAAATAATCTCTTACATAGTCAAGTTTTCATTTGTGTCTTGCTTGAGAGATCTACAATAACTATATCAGTCTCATATAGCCAGTATACCTATATTATGTCCTTCCTCAGTATTCATTGTGTTTTCACCCATTTTTTTTTCAAGTAGGTACTTCCTCACAAATGAAAAGTGGTAAACAAATTTCAACCTCATCAGATTAGTTTTATTTAGATTCGTACAACCTATATATGGAAATACATTAAAAATACTAGAATTTTATTAAAAAAAGATAGGATCATATTGAAAGAATAATAATATAAATACGTATAATTTTTCTGGTTTCCACTTGAATACTTTTGCTTCCACATCCTGTATGGTTTTTTACTGGATGTCATCCTTTTCTTCATCTGCAGGAATGTAATAAGATATTTAAAATACAAAATACAAGTATCATAAATATTCATATTGTGATATGAGATGAGAACAAAGCTGTTAGGCTGTTTGATAACTCATCAGTTGGTTGAGTTGCTTCCGTTGAGGGCGTACGTATTCACATCGTTCGGAATAAAAATTACAAACTGTGATGCACTGAGTAAACATATATCTATGAAAAGTTGAACATTAAGTATATCAAAAGTGCTGTGATAGACTTTCGCTATTTGCGATTGGAAACAATAAGTGAAAGTGCAGAATTTTGGATACAAAACAGTTTCTCAGGCCGTAAGTCCATATAAAATATCTACATAAACCAAAACAAACCAGTCCCCACCTCATATCTCGCCTCTGTCCAGTACTGAGGTTGTACCTACACCTGAACATTTTAAATCTTTGTGAATCGCTTCGCGTTCAGCGTTCAGTATTCAGTACGAATCGTCGATTAAGGAGGACGGTTACTGAGTGGAGCTAATTATGAAATCTAACGACGAAATATACGCACTTCTCATAACGCTTGTTCAAAGCCACGAAGACATTAAACACGAACTCACGCAAATAAAAAATAAAGTATCTAATATACAAACAACAGTGGAAAAACTAGAAACCAAGGTCACTCAGATAGAAAAAGAGAATCATCATCTCAAAACGCGAATTGACTGGTTGGAGAAACGGGATAAAAAATACAGCGTTGTACTTTATGGACTAGAAGGTCCTGAGAAAGATACTCTGAGTTTGACAGTATCAAAAATCCAGAGCTTAGGAGTCGATTTCCAAAAATTCGAAATTCGCGACGCCTACAGAATAGGAGAGAAGAAAGACGGCAGAAACAGACCAGTCGTTGTAGAATTATTAGGGTTTCAGTTGAAAACAGAAATCCTAAACCGTTCCAGAACAAGCGATCAACTTAAAAAAGAGGGCATCTATATAACCAGTGACTACACCAAACAAGAATACCAAAAACGAAAATTACTGCATGGGAAATTAAAGGAAATCAGAAACACCGGAGCCACTGCTAAGAAATCCAGAAGAGGAGTCGAGGTCAACGGGATAGAATACACATTCGAAGAATTCGAAAAATTCAATCTACAGTTGTTAAAGAAGATTGAAAATACTGGAGAATTAAACAAAATAGAAAACAAGAAGAGGAAGGACAGAGAAGAAGAAGGCCCTTTTACACAGATATCGAAATCAACTCGGTCATCATCTAAGAAGACAACCTCAAATTAGATTATCTAGAAATTTTTTTCCATTTATTTTGTTATATCTTCAATTATTACCTTTGGATATTGAATAAAAGAAAGCGATAATGTACCAATTCATAAGAGAGTATACCAATGAACCAGTCAATACATTGGAGATCACGAACTTACAAGAACTTAATGCACACCTTTCGAACAAAACAAAAAATTATTTTAAACTGTTCCATCTGAATATAAGAAGCTTATATAAGAATATAGATGAACTCAAGATATTACCTAATCAGATTAATATTGACTTTGATTGTCTGATACTCACCGAAACATTCAATATTATTGATACCTCTCACCTTCAAATGGACAATTACGATCTATTGAATAGCCATGGAGACATCAATAAAAATGATGGAGAAGTCGTTTATGTTAGAAATTCCCTAAAATACTCTTTCAACACAGTTTCAATCTCATCATGCAAATCAATAAAATTGAAAATTCATGGAATCAATAATGAAAATACACTTATCTCTTGTATATACAGGCCACCTTCAACAAATCTTGAATTGTTTCTTTCAGATTTCAAAGTTTATTTACAAAACTGTAACGATAGGTCTGTATCTAGTCATCTTATAGTTGGAGATCTGAATATAAATATCAATGATGACAATGACAGTGTGAATGAGTATCTTGATACCCTCAGTGAATATGGTTTCATCTCTTTGATAAACAAAAATACCCGTGTACAGGGTGAATCAGCTAGTTGCATCGATCACGTGTTCTTGAAAAGCGGGGTGGATGAATTGGAAAAAAAGTGTCTACAAATTATTTTCGATGCGAACATAACAGATCACAAAGTTATAATAGTATCAGTCCCAATATATATAGATTATGAGAACAATAAAAACACTGAACACGTAAAACAATATATAAATTATGAGACAATAAAACTCGAACTACGGAACCATAACTGGGATACTTTCTATCGATCAACTAATCCAAATGAACTACTCGAGTATTTAACAAATTTGTCATTAAACATTATAGACAAAAACACAAAAATTCAAAAGTGGCGAATAAACAGAAAAAAACAAAAAGAATGGATCACCATAGGGCTCATAAATTCTGTCAATAAAAAAAACCATCTCTACCAACAGTATAAAAAATACCCGCACGACATATTGAAAAAAACTACCTACATTAGTTATAGAAATAATTTAAATCGTCTAGTGAAAAAAAGAAAAGCTGAATACTATCGCAAAGAAATTGACAAGAATAAAAATAGCTGTAAAAGTCTATGGAAAATTGTAAATGGCATTAAAAATCCCAAACGTGATAATCTGATACAAAGTATCAAACTCTCAAACGATAGAGTTCTAACCAACCCTCATGACATAGCAACTGAATTTAATTCTCTTTTTGCAAATATTGGAAAAACACTAGCGGACAAAATAAAAAAGCCGTCAACACCTAGGCCTGCAAGAAACAGATGTCCCAATTCATTTTTTCCCACACAACTCACCGAACAAGAAACTAAAACTATAATTATGGAATTAAAATCTCTTACGGCCCCGGGTATAGATGGAATACGGACAGAATTCTTGAAAAATGTCATAAACGAAATCGCTTCCCCAATCGCTCATTTAATAAACTGTATATTCAATAGCGGGATATGCCCAGATGGCTTCAAAAAGGCAGTAGTAACTCCGGTGTTCAAAAAAGGAGACAAAAAAAATTTAAGTAACTATAGACCAATATCACTTATTACCAACTTTGCTAAAATCTTTGAAAAAGCCCTGAAGAGTCGTTTGGTTAAGTTCATCAAGAAATATGATATAATATCCTGTCAACAATTCGGATTCAAAGAAGGGGTATCTACAAATGACGCCATTGCTACCCTAACGAGCGAGTTATACAAATATGTTGACAGAAGCACGCCAGCCATATGTGTATTCTTGGATCTATCCAAGGCCTTCGATACCGTGAATATTTCACAACTATTGGAGGCTTTGGATGATGCAGGAGTACGCGGTCAACCATTGACATTGATGAAAAGCTATCTGGAAAACAGAGTTCAATTGGTCCGAATAAAAAATAGCCTCAGCTCAGAAGAAAACATCAGCTATGGAGTTCCACAAGGGACCGTTCTTGGACCTCTGTTGTTTTCCATATATATAAACAGCCTACTTACCCACCCAAGTAGTGGAAAAATATACAGTTTTGCAGATGACACATCTATTACATTCACTGCTACTTCCTGGTCAGAACTAAAGAAAAAGGCTCAAGACGACATGTCATCTCTAATGAATTGGTTCAATCACATGGAACTCACCATAAATTTTGAAAAAACATTTTTCATGCCATTTGCCAGTTATGCATCATCATTACCAACATTCAAAACATTGTCTTTCGATAATCACGGTGTTATAATTGATGTAGCGTCGACAGATCGCATGAAATATCTAGGAATAACCATTGACCCACATTTAAGATGGAATGAATACGTGATCGACGTTACTAAAACGCTGAGACAAATGATGTTCAAATTCAGTTATTTGAAACGAGTACTTGATATCTCTCACCTAAAAACGGTATACTTCTCGCTGGTGGAATCGCGTCTTCAATATGCTATACTCAGCTGGGGTGGTATTCTTAACACTCACCCGAAGAAATTAGCTACGTTCCAAAACAAAATTATTAAGATAATGAAAAGGAATATTCTCAGATAAATTATGAACATACAAAAATGGATATATATTTATATAAAGCAATACATTGAGAATTCGCATTCTCTATGTGATGAGAATATTTACTCTTTTTCAGTTAATTCAATAGAAAACAACTACTTAAGATAATGTTCAATAAAAAATTCACATATCCTACGACCTCTCTGTTTAGCGAAGCTACAGTCTTAGACATGAGAAAACTTTATATGTACAATGTCATCACTTACATATATAAAAATGAAAGTATACTCAATAAATCAAAGCATGTCTATGAAACTAGAAACAAGAACGATGTCCAAACAACTCTAACAAAAAATCAGTAGGACAGCGATGCTTCTCGTATTTGGCTGGAAATATTTTCAATTTCCTACCAGATATCTATAGATCTTATATTCACAAAATAAATTCCTTTCCCTTGATGAAAAAACTTTTTAAATCATTTATTGTAAATTTGGATATCCACACAGTGAATGATCTGATAGAGGCATGAACGTTCGTATGTGAATATGTTGAATTGTTATGTTATGTCTATCTATTCTCAAAAATTGCCTTTTCATCTTTGTATTCGTATTATTGTTTTGTTTTCCAACAACCCAAGAGGTTTATGGAATTTCCATGTTTATTTTGGTCTCCTCATTTAAAAAAATTTGTATCTATTTATATTTATTATTTATTCTGAATAAACATTATTATTATTATTATTATTATTATTATTATTATTATTATTATTATTAGTGAATAAGTGCGATAAATTTCAGGGGGTGATTCTTCCTAATATTTTAGGAAATAAAGTTTATATGAACATGTGTTCTAACTTGCTTCGTTTTTTCGTGAAAATTTGTCAAATTGACAGTGATTTTTTTACGCACGACCTATATCATTGTTCTATACTCCTGCAATGGTTTGAAGTGCGGAAAACTGTGCAGAAGCTATTGGCCTTGTTGAAGATGGATGTAATTATAAATATGTTGCAGGAATACTTCATGTTCATCGTTCTACAACCAAAAGAGTAGTCGAACGTTTTGGACAAACTGGCGAAAATAAGCGAAGGGCAGGTTGTGGCAGAAAACGCAAAACTTCTGCTACTGATGACAGATTTCTTCATGTTAAAACTCTGCGGGATCGTCACTTAACATCAGTGCAGTCAAGAAACCAACTCCAGGAGGTTCGAGATACAAATGTAAGTGTATGGACAGTTCGCCGAAGATTGAAGGATTTTGGTTTGAAAGCTTGCAGACCAGCAACTGGACCCAAATTGCTTCCGCGTCACCGAGTAGCTAGACTGCAATTTGCCACTGAGCATTTATTTTGGAAATCAGAACAATGGAACAATGTTCTTCTCACTGACGAATCCAGATTCTGCTTATATTCTCCAGATGGACGAAAAAGATTGTGGAGAAGGATCGGAGAAAGATTTGCAGAGTGCACGTTCAGTACCCGTCTGAGCTATGGAGGAGGTTCAGTAATGGTGTGGGCAGGAATAACCCGGGAGGCCTGCACTGAGTTGGTGGTCATCGATGGATCTTTGACGGCCCACCGATATATTGATGAGATGTAAAACAATCATGTTGTACCTTTCAGTGGATATATCGGCGATGGTTTTATCCTAATACAAGATACTGCACGGCCACATACAGCAATGTGTGTTACACAATACCTCGCGGAGGTTGAAATTAAGAAAATGAACTGGCCAGCATGTTCACCTGACCTCAACCCAATAGAGCATGTATATGGGACATGCTTGATAGACGAGTCAGGGATCGCGAAGTAGCTCCGGTTACAGTAAATGAACTGCGTATAGCCCTTCAGGAGGAATGGCATAATATTCCTCAGGATGCTATTCGTAACCTTATTGACAGTATGAACCTACGCATGCAGGCAGTTTTAAGAGCTGGAGGTGGCAATACAAAATATTGAGATTATTTCTTGTAGGAAGTACGTTCTTTGGGTTGATTAAGTTACAGTTGCAATTTGATTTTGAAGTGGAATTTAAATTTGCATGAGTAAATTTTCTTTTTTATTAAGTTCAAGTTCATTTCGCTTTCAAAAATGATCCACTGCACTTGAAGACATTAACCAAAAATCAAAATATAGGATTGGAATGGTCCTTAACAAAAATTGATGTTGAAAGAATTTGGTTTCTGAATTATTCCACAGGGTGTTTTGAAATTAGCGTTACACAACAACCTTTCAATGAACCCTGTATATGACTAATCCGCCAGAATTTAACTAGAAAACAGGATATACAAGCTGAGATTAGTCATTTTATCTACAGTTCTTAGAGAAGATTATTGAAATCGAATCAAAAATT